GAAAAAAAGGCATTGTTATATTTTTTTTCTTTTTTTTCCCTAAATTTATCAGCTCATATGAGATAATGAGAAAATATCAGAGGTCCATTTAATACTTCTGCAGCAAAGCAAACATAAATTATTAACATGGGAGGACAAATCAGCACCCTACATCCTATAGATCCTCATATCAATAAATACGGAAAAACAAAATGAAAATCAACTGAAGACTCGTGGGATGACAAATCAGTACCCTACATCATGTAGATCATCATATCAATAAATACGAAAAAAAATCAAAATCAACCAAAGACAACATAAAAACACCGAGATAAAAATTACTCTGAACAAGATGACCAATCCAGAGCAAGCATAAAACATTAGAGAATAATTTTTCAAAACCTATATACACTATCTAGTCAGAAATTGCATTCAATCTTAATAAATATTGAGAAATTTAACTACACAAAGAACAAAATAACCATGCATAAAAATAACATATGAAAATCAAAGCAAACCCAAAACTAAAAATGTCCGAACAAACCAGAGAAAATAGGCAGCAAGATCCAACAATATCGCTCAAAATCACATGAGAAAGGCAACGAACATGAACCCATGAAAGAAAAAGCGCACCATACTCACCGAAGAACAATGAAGGAGGCAGAGAGAGAGAGAAGATGCCGAAGAACAATGAAAGAGGCAGAGAGAAAGAGAAGATGAAAGAGGCAAAACAATTTAAGGCTGCGATGAGAAGAAAACCGAGGAAAGGTAATGCCCCCAAACGCAGGAAAATGACTGAAAACCTTCAACGCATGAGTGAAAAAGAAGAACAAAGAAACAAGGGCAAAATCGTAAAATCAAGAATCAACAATAACAAAGAACAAACATATATACAATCAAGAATCAACATCCTCTATGATATATAATTAGTAACTTGCAAATACTATAGATAAAAACAATTCAAAGCGACACATATTATTCGAATGTAAAGGATAAAACATGCAAACAACATAAGTTTATCCTAATACAAGCAAACAATACAAGTTCCATTACAACTTCCAAGGGAAAAACACATAGACAATTGGCATGCATTCCTATGATTCCTCCAGTCATTAAACATATCTTGGGCTACAATATTCCTCCACCCAGTCCACTCATCTGAAGGCTAAACGGCCGTTATCAAATCATCATTATCTTCTACTTCTTCGTCATTCTCACACTCATCTTCTGGTATTGGATTTGGAACGTCATTAGGCATTTTGCGCCTAATAAAATTATGTAAAAAATAACATGCCAAGATAATGCGATTTTGAGTTTTAATTGGAAAGAACAATGGACTATGAAGAATCACCCAACGACTCTTAAGTACACCAAAACATCTCTCAATCACATTCCTAGCATGTGAATGTTTCATATTAAAATACTCTTGTGCATTCCTAGGTTGTGTTCCATCTTCCCATTCCTTTAGATGGTACCATTGGCCATGAAATGGAGCAAGGAAACCTTTACAATTGGTGTATCCAGCATCAACAAGATAGTAACATCCTATTAAAAGAATTGATAAATATAGATTTAACATTTTGTAAATGTAACAACGAATGTTGTAACAAAGAAAGAGTAAACTACTTTACTAGTAACAAACAAACTTACCATTTGGAACACGTAAACCATTTGCCCTACGTAGAGCATCGCGTAATACTCTACCATCAGCTGCAGATCCTTCCCATCTAGGCAACACATATATAAATTTCATATCTCGTGTGCATACTCCTAAGACGTTTGTTGCTTGGGCTCTATGTCAATTTCGGTATTTGGGTCTCTCTGTCATAGGCACTCTCACCCTAATATAGGTTCCATCTAGTGCACCTAGGCAATTCTATAATAAATAAAAGATATAATTACTAGTAACGGTAGTTTAGGTGCAGCAATCCTATTTCAAAAACTAGGGGTCTCAGTTTCTAAGTTTTATCAATTCCTAAAAAAGACAGCTTTAGCGACTGTTACGGGAATAATCATAAAATATTCTACACAGCCTCAAAAATTACAAAATCAGCTCCTAATCGAACTAGACATCTAGGGCTTTCCAAAGAGCTATCATAAGTTTCGTTTCAGGTCTGTTAAGGTCTCCAAAAACACATTATACCGGCTCAAAACGTGGCTGTTTTAGTGTAGAATTTCTGAAAATCATGCATAACTTTAAAAATGCATAACTTGAACTATAGTTGTTCGTTTGAGGTGATTCTTGCGGCTATACGAAGCTTAGGATGTCTAGTTTCCAATTCTGTAACCTATTCATTCAAATTCATCTCCAAAGATTCCCAGAATTCAACAGAATCAAATCTGTCCAGGTTAGATTCTTTGACAGTTTTTCCAACAACTTGAAAAATTCGTAACTTAAGCTACAACATTCATTTTTGGGTGATTCAAATTTCCTATCAAAGCTTGAAGAGTCTATTTTAAGGTTCTAACATAGCTAACATTAAAACTGATTTTGAATAATTAAGTCCTATACTTTTCCTTGGGCTGCTCCTAGAATCCTCCCCAAAATTATGTGAATCAAGTTGGGAAAGTATGATTAAGACCAAAATAATTACATTCAAGAGAGAAATTTCAAAGAAACTCATACTTTAATAAACTCCAACTTTGACAATTTGGGATTTTAGAAATTAGGTAATGTCTAAGGCTTTAGAAAACATTGACAATAAAGAGCATCACTAAACCAAACAAATTACTACAAAGAAAACAATATTTTCGAATTAAAGAAGAAGGGGAAAAGCCCTACCTCAAGCTTCTTGAAATCTCTAAGAAATTCATCTCTAATCTTGAAATTGACTTCAAGGTTGAATTACCCATAAAAAAAAGTGTGAAAGCCCTCTATTTTGGAAGCTTGGACAGCATCTCTCATGGGGGGGAAGAGAGGGAGAACCGAAAGAGAGAGAGAGTGAGGGAGAGAGAGAACGTGAGAGTGAGAGTGGGAGAGAGAGGGTTAACGTGAGAGAGAGGGATGAAGAGATGATAAAAATAATTAGAAGTGAGATGTTTGGATCTTAAAATTAGATTTGAATCATATGCAACATTATAAAAATGTCCTCTCAAATGTAAAATCAGATTTGAACCATTATGCAACGTTATAAAAATGTCATCTAAAATGTAAAATCAGACTTGTTCCTTTTTCTTTTTCAGCTCCTCGAGATACTTGTGATAGTTTCTCTTCCAGTGCTCTTCGCCATTGCAGTGGAAACACTTTCCTTTGGGTTTCTGGATGGGGCCTTTAGCCTTCTTGGGTCTCTTGTTCTTTCCTTTCTTCGCTTTCCCTTGGTTCTGGTTCTTTCTTTTAACTTTACCAGAACTTCCTGCAACTACAACATTTGCTTCTCCTCCCCTTCGCTTGTTGGTGGATTCGAAGTTTTGCAGGTCATTCATGAGTTCAGTGAGATTAGACTTTTTCTTGTTCATAACAAAGTTGTCCACGAACTCATGAAAATCAGGAGATAGGCTTTCCAAGATGATGCCAACTTGGGTGGCTTCATCGATCCTGGCACCATTAAGCTCCGCATCATGGAGGTGATCAATCATGTTCAAAACATGTGCCTTGACTGAAGAACCTTTCTTCATCTTGTCATTCATGAAAGCCCTTACGGCATCCAAACGAGCCTTTTCAGAGGGAGCACCGAACATGGCTTCTAGAGACTCCATTATCTCATAAGCAGTCTCCATCTCCTCATGCTTCTTGCGAAGCACATCGCTCATACTGGC